GCTACTTTCTGCTATTCTGCTATTTCAGCTATAGTTCTGCTACTTTCTGCTATTCTGCTATTTCAGCTATAGTTCTGCTACTTTCTGCAATTCTGCTATTTCAGCTATAGTTCTGCTACTTTCTGCTATACTTCTACTATTTCAGCTATAGTTCTGCTACTTTCTGCTATTCTTCTGCTATTTCAGCTATAGTTCTGCTACTTTATGCTGTTCTGTTATTTCAGCTATAGTTCTGCTACTTTCTGCTATTCTTCTACTATTTCAGCTATAGTTCTGCTACTTTCTGCTATTCTTCTGCTATTTCAGCTATAGTTCTACTACTTTCTGCTATTCTTCTGCTACTTCAGCTATAGTTCCACTACTCTCTGCTCTTCTACTATTTCAGCTATAGTTCTGCTACTTTCTGCTATTCTTCTACTATTTCAGCTATAGTTCTGCTACTTTCTGCTATTCTTCTGCTACTTCAGCTATAGTTCTGCGCAAATGGCATTCACACTTGCATTTTCGTAGGAAATGCAACTTCTCTAGTTATTATTATTATTATTATCATTATTATTATTATTATATAGTCATAAGAGTGTCCACATATGCTCCTGGCACCAGGACACCCTAGGCCGCAGTTCAATGATCGACTTTGTTGTTGTTTCATCTGATCTGAGGCCACATGTTTTGGACACTCTGGTGACTAGAGGGGCGGAGCTTTCAACTGACCACTACCTGGTGGTGAGTTGGCTCCGTTGGTGGGGGAGGATGTCGGTTAGACTTGGCAGACCCAAACGTATAGTGAGGGTCTGCTGGGAATATCTGTCAGAGTCTCCCGTCAGGCGGAGCTTCAACTCACACCTCCGGGGGAACTTCGAACATGTTCCGGGGGAGGTGGAGGACATCTAGTCTGAGTGGGCCATGTTTCGAGCCTCCATTGTCAAGGCGGCTTACCTGAGCTGTGGCCGTACGGTTGTCGGTGCTTTTCGTGGCGGCAATCCTCGAACCCGCTGGTGGACACCAGCAGTGAGGGATGCTGTCAGGCTGAAGAAGGAGTCCTATCGGGTCTTTTTGGCCTGTGGGACTCCGGAAGCAGCTGATAGGTATCGGCAGTCCAAGCGGATTGCGGCTCGGGTGGTCGCTGAGACAAAAACTCAGGCATGGGAGGAGTTCGGAGAGGCCATGAGAAAAGACTTCCGTATGGCTTTGGGGTGATTCTGGTCCACCTTCCGGCGTCTCAGGGGGGAATGTGGTTGTCCACCAACACTATTTATGGTGGGGATGGTGCGCTGCTGACCTCAACTCAGGATGTTGTGGATTGGTGGGCGGAATACTTTGAGGACCTCCTCAATCCTACCAACATGTCTTCCCATGAGGAAGCAGAGCCTGGGGACCCTGGGTCGCACTCTCCAATCTCTGGTGCCTGGGTGGTTAAAAAAGCTCCTCGGTGGCATAGCTCCGGGGGTGGATGAGATTCGCCCAGAGTTCCTTAAGGCTCTGGATGTTGTGGGGTTGCATTGGTTGACATGACTCTACAATATCATGTGGACATCAGGGGCAGTTTCCCTGGATTGGCAGACTGGGGTGGTGGTCCCCCTACTTAAAAAGGGGGACCGCAGAGTGTGTTGCAACTATGGGGGATCACACTTCTGAGCCTCCCTGGTAAGGTCTATTCGGGGGTTCTGGAGAGGAGGGTCCATCAGATACTCGAATCTCGGATTCAGGAAGAGTAGTGTGGTTTTCGTCCTGGTTGTGGAACAGCGGACCAGCTTTGCACCCTCAGCAGGGTCCTGGAGGGTGCGTGGGAGTTCGCCCAACTAGTCTACATGTGTTTTGTGGACTTGGAGAAGGCATTCGACCGTGTCCCTCGAGGACTCCTGTGGGCGGTACGTGGGCGGTACTCTGGGAGTATGGGGTATAGTTCCCTGTACGACCAGTGCCAGAGCTTGGTACGCATTGCCAATTGCCATTGTAAGTTGGACTCGTTTCCGGTGAGAGTTGGACTCCACCAAGGTTGCCCTTTGTCACAGATTCTGTTCATAACTTTTATGGACAGAATTTCTAGGTGCAGTCAAGGTGTTGATGGGATCCTTTATGGTGACCTTAGGATTGCTTCTCTGCTATTCCATTGGAGAAATCTTGTATATACACACATGTTCACAACTGCTCACAAACAGGTGCTCTGAACTGGGGGGTTCTGACTGGTCATTGAGTGTGTATATATGTCTACGTATGTGTATATACTGACAATATTTATGAATGTAGGCATGTCTGTATGTACATCTAAATAAATGTATGGGTATGTGTATATATTTATATATGCCCTTCATGTATTTATCCATTTATTTTTCAGGTGAGCGGACAGATGTTGGGTGTGTGGTCCTGTGTTTTGTTGGTGTATATATTTAATATATTTCTAATCGTTATTTCAGTCTTTCTATCTTTCTAATTACTTCTCCCTCTGTTTTTCTCTCTGTCTCTATTTTCTCTTCACTTAAAAAATAATAAAGGTGTGGAGAGGATGGCTATAATGGGAGAAGGGAGGCCATCCAAAAAAAGGATTGCTTCTCTGCTTTTTGCGGATAATGTTGCTGATGTTGATGGAGCAGTTCGCAGCCGAGTGTGAAGCGGCTGGGATGAGGATCAGTGCCTCTAAATCCGAGACCATGATCTTGAGCCGGAAACCAGTAGCGTGCCGCCTCTGGGTCGGGGAGAAGGTCTTGCCCCAAGTGGAGGAGTTCAAGTATCTCGGGGTCTTGCTCACGAATGAGGGAAGAATGGAGCGGGAGATAGACAGGCAGATTGGTGCTGCATCTGCAGTGATGTGGGCGCTGTACCAGTCTGTTGTGGTGAAGCAGGAGCTGAGCCAGAAGGCAAAGCTCTCGGTTTACCGGTCGGTCTACGTTCCTACCCTCATCTATGGTCACGAACTTTGGGTAGTGACCGAAAGAAGGAGATCGCGGATATAAGCGGCCAAAATGTTTCCTTCGCAGGGTGTCTGGGCTCTCCCTTAGAGATAGGGTGAGAGGCTCGGTTATCCGGGAGGGACTCAGAGTAGAGCTGCTGCTGCTGCTCCTCCACGTCGAGAGGAGCCAGTTGAGGTAGCTCGGGCATCTGGTTAGGATGCCTCCTGGACAACCCACCGGTGAGGTGTTCCGGGCATGTCCCACTGGGAGGAGGCCCAGGGAAAGGCCCAGGACTCACTGGAGGGACTATGTTTCTCAGCTGGCCTGGGAGCGCCTTGGGATTCCCCTGGACAAGCTTGCCCAAGTGGCTGGGGAGAGGGAAGTCTGGGTCTCTCTATTTAGGCTGCTGCCCCCACGACCCCATCCCAGTTAAGTGGCAGAAAATAGACGGACGGACAGATGATTATAATATAGTCATAAACATTTCTCTCAAACTAGAAGGAACTGCTCTAGAAGCTGGACGGGGTGGGTTGTGAAGCTCCTTTTTTGGATTTAAAGAGACAACTTCAAAATAACTTGAGACATGCCTTGGAACAGGGATGAAAGTGTGGCTTGTGGAGTTACAATAACAAGGAAGGCTAAAGCATTGCAGTTCCATTTTATATAGACTGAAAATTAATTATTTAACTGTGAAAAAGAAGTATTTAAAAGCATGAAATGCAGTGGCGGCTTGTCACTACAGAGCGCTAGGGCACCGCCCCACCAGTATTTTTTGGGACACAAAAAATATACAAATAAAATAACAAAATAAAATGCTTTTTAGAAATATCTACAAATTTTTTAGATCAGGGTCTCCGCGGAGTCTTGATAAGTCTTATATTCATATTTCTAAGGTCGTATTCAAACCTGACAATTTGCTCCGCTTTAAACAAACCAGAGTTCATTTCCAGCATTGGTCCGGACCTTTTGTGCAGGTGTGAATACTCTCATGCAAACTCTGGTGCAGATCAAACAACCAGACCGAGACACGCTTTTTGAGGTGGTCTCAGTTCATTTCCAAACGAACTCTGGTGTGGTTCGCTTCTGGGTGAATATGGACCGGACTCTAACCGAACTAACTGCATTAAACATGCTCCTTTTTGGACTTCAAAGGCCACCATTGCTGAGCTAAATAAACTGAAATCATACCTGTTTCATTGTCTCCTGCTTAGCAGCTCTGCTGGCAGCATGAAGTGGGTCAGAACACGAAGAGCACCTCGTCTCCTATGGGTCGCAGGACACGTTTACTGATGTCGCTCCAAAATTAGAATATCATCACAAAACCACCATTAAATTAGCTGCTTTTGACATTTTAAATGCTATTGCAGTTGTACTAACAGCATAAATGTGTGTATCAGAACCGCAGCATGCGCTTTCTTGTTTTATTCTGGGTATGTGCGCTCAGTCCTGCCACCGTCCTTTCTGTCCAGTGGGAGCAATGATCGTCACCCTCGTGGCTTTGTTTACAAGTTATAGTTCATTTGCAAAAAAGCACAATGTGAATGAAAAGGAAAAAAATTGTATAGGTCTTCTGGACGGGTTCTTCTCTAATGAAACGTTTCGTCTCTCTTCCAAGAGACTTCTTCAGTCTGAGAGTTTCAGGCAAAATTCAGGCTTTTGAGTCCTGCTTCCAGGTGACTGATACTCACATCACATGGCTACAGTATTGTTCACACCTAATTAACACCTATTGTTAAAGCTGCTGTATGTAGTTTTTTGGAAACCCAAAAACTTAGAAAATTTTGAACAGAAACAACCTTGTAGTCC